GGGGGGAGTGTCTAAATTTATATTTTTTAAATGTGTGTGGGGAGGCACATGTCCCCTTCACATATAATTAATGTGACGCCTATGAATTAGAGTAAAATGCTAATTTATTTGTAAGAAAACTCTTGGCATAATTTAGATCAAAGACAGAAAAATCTAATGAATCATCCAGATAATCAGAGCCACATCAGGCTGTTTAAAGTCTCATACCTGGTTTTGGAAAGCTTCGGGAGCGAGTTTTTTGTAGAGTGGAGCGAGATCTGTGGCAAGATTCTGAAGGTTGTTCTCTACCTTCTTTTCCTGAAAGGAACAAAGTACAGACATTGTATTTTGTTTTGTTTTTTCAACTGTTGTGCCTATAACTGTGGTTGCTAGCTCCAACTTAGATGCCACTAAGAGGCAAAATACTTTATGCAGACAAAATGCAAGGCTGTAAAAGAGACTGTTGACATTAAATTTATATATAAAAAAACCTTTACTGTAGTATAGAAAAAGTAATACTATGTAATAAAATGTAGATGACTTTTTTATGTTTGCTTCTGCAAATCAACACACACACTGACACATTCCCTCACCTGCTCCGGGTAATCTCCAAGCAGGCGAAACTTGCGGGGCACTTTGCTGCGAGCAAACTTACAGCCATTGAAGTACATGCTCCAGGAGCAGCCGAAGGAGAATGAGGCGCCGCAAGTATCCGGGTCCAAACCCTGGCATGCACACGTGCGACTGCAGGGACAGAGAGGACAGAGTCAGTAAGGAAATGAAAAAGTTTGGGATCAAGACATAACTAAATGAAAAAATGGAAAAATGTGCTCACTCCTCATTGAGAGCACAGCGCCGGCAGGTGGGAGAGCCATATTTAAAGAGGGTCTCTGTGAGATCCTGGTAGAGGTGGTCTGCCAATGAGTGAGGGATCCCCTCCCACGCCAAAATGAGGATCACCAACACGGCTGTGTCACAGCTGTGCCCTGGCCTTTTGCGAACCAAACACAGCAGCTTCTCCTCCTCGCTGGAACGCCGGATCACCTGCCAGACGATTTTCCATTCAAACTCATAAAACGAGCAGGTCAGAACAGAGGACAGACAAACTACAAACTACATACCCATTTAGCTATCGGGCACCCCTGGGAGCTCTTGCCTTCTTTCCCGGTGTAAACAACAACTTCCACCCTTACTGCATTCCCCTTGGCGCCATACCTGAAGCACAATTAGACACAGAGTATAATTATATACATCACTATCAGAACATCGTTTAATTACTAAAAACTGCAAAGCTCAGTAGACCCGATTTGCTTTTCCTGAACAAGTGTTTCATCAGAGTGAGATTTGGGGAAGTGTGTATTTTGTAGCCAAGTCAACACTTTCAGCTCCGTCATGTTAATATGTTTGTGTCAGAGTGTATTATCCTGTTGATTGTGGCCACAAGCTTTGAGTTGTTAAAAGCTCATTTCAGACATGAGCTGTAATGTAAAACTAATGCTTGATATTTAGTTGATCAAACGTTGGTTAGTTTGCCAATAATACTCTTCACAACTTTATTCAAATATACTTGAAATTGTGATTATTATAGCCACAACGTGGGCTCGGTTGTTGCCATTTATGTGAAACTGTTCAGTACATTATGCATAAGTTCCTGTCACTGTAGGAGTTGTGGTTTTGTCCCTGGTGTCGTGTTTATGTTTGTGTTCCCCCTGATCCTCTGTTTCTCTTTACAGGGTTTGTGTTTCTCTTGTATCTAGCCCCATCTTGTGTCATGTTCATGTCTTGCATCCTCTTTCTTCTTCTCTGGCATCTGTGATTACTCACAGGTGTCATCACTTGGTCTAATTGGTGTTTCCTGTATATAAGTCTGTGTCTCTGTCTCTGTGTTAGTCTTTCTCCTGGCATTGTTCTCTGTCCACTGGTGATATCCTGGCCTGTTCCTTGTGATGCCTAGTCTGCTCCTCGTGTTCATCTCCTGGTTTATGTAAGTTTGCTGCCCCGTCACAACTTTTGTTTTGTAAAATAAATTCCTTATTTTATATTGAATCCTTGCCTGCCTGTTTGCACCACTGGGTTCACCAGCACCAGCCCTCGTTGTGACAGTCACGTCATTAAAATAATTCATTTAAGCGTTCCAATCTTTAGGAGTCAAGTGTTATATGCCTAAACTGTACCATGACGGTTGTGATCAACTTGAGAAAAATGTGAACTTTAACTCCACCATCAGTGTAGGTGTGAGATGAGAAACCACATTGTCATGCAAACTTATGTCTTGCAGAAACTCTGTTTTACTCATAACAACTTGTCTTTTTGAGAAAAATAAAACTCAATCTCTGCCAACAAGCATGAAGCATTAAGTAACAAAAATAACGACGAATGACACAAGTGACACTGGTTAAAGATTCAACATTCATGGAAGAAATACACTGTGCATAAACTTTTGCTCAGTGTCTGTAAAACCAACAATCATAGACATTTTTGGTGTTTTTTTTAAGGTCATTTGGTTGTGGCAGCCATCTTTAATTGTTCTGATGATAATAAGTCAGACGAAGCAGAAGCAGTTGTCAGTGTAATGTGTATTATTTGCACTCATCATGATCAATAACTCTCCTGTGGGAACATTCTGCAACATCCTGCTCATGTTTGTGATGTGTGATATTAATGGTCCCATGTAAATGGGATGATATGATAAAGTTGATATGAAATGGTGATGTGTCTCAAGCAGAGTCCTTGACTCAGATCCACTCCTTCCTGTCTATAAGCGGACCTTTCGATGACAGCTCGGACATGGAGGGGAGGGGATGAGGTCTGGACTGGAGGTTATTCTATAACTTGTCCGGTCCAGAGAGTTGGAGCAGGTCAGGGTTTCACATGGATGAAACCACTGATAACATTGTAATCTTGTAACTTCATGTTCGATGAATGCTGGACTGCTCTCCAAAGCTTTGAAAATAAATCTGATGAACTACACCGTGGTCTGTTTTTGGGAATCTCCTTTTTTCCCACGACACAGTTCTAATGGATTTAAGCACAGTTTTCTCCAGGTAATCATGCTCTGAAGTTGTATAAACAAATATAGCTGCAGCATATATCTGAAGAAAAAAAACAGAGAATATTATTTTTTTTATCCATTTAATGGCAAGATTTGTGAGATTTTTCTGAAGAGCAGATCAGAGGCTAGATGCAGCTCTTTTTGTGTGTCCTGCTGTGTTGACAGTGATATGTGTTACCAGGTCTAACACAGATTATCACACTGCCTCTGGTTAGTCCCACAGGGCCTCTGGATGCCATCTCTTCCAAAGGCAAACACTTTTCACACAAGTGGCCTTTAATGTGATGTAAATGTGATTTGTGACGCCCATTCCAGAGCTCAGTTTTTAGCCCAGATGCCAATTTTTATGTTAGAGAACAGAGGTCATCTTGCACATTCTGACTGGTTCTGCACATACACAGCTTCATACACAGTAAGGTGTAATGCAGTGTGTTCTGACACGTTTCCATCGTTAAGGATTCAACAGTTTGTCTCACAGCAGCTTTCCTCAGTTTCAAATAACAATGACCAAACTGTGCTCTCTCCTTCACATCAGTGAGCCTTTTTTTAAAATAATTTGACCAGTTTTGGTTGTTCTTATTTATCAATCGTGTTCTTACTCAGATCTTCATGTTAGCCCTTTTTTCAGCTGTCAGTGGTTTTATGTGGATAACTGATGTTTTCAGGGAAACTGATAATAAACACAATCAAAGCAGCACCTGTAATCAGAGGGTGGAAAAATGTAAAGTAAGTACTGTTGTTCATTGTATTAGTCTACATTTTTAAGTAAATATACAATCAAAAAAGGAATATGAATGTTGCTCTAAATATATTTTTGGCTAACACTGAATTATTTCCATTAAAAAGTTATTTCTGCCATTGAAAACTGCAACACTATCTGCAAACAAGCTATCATCTTGGCTCATGGGCCCCTGCCCTCAGCTTTAGGGTTTCCTGTTTCAGTGTCTTGTGTGTGTAGCTGTGTGTGTGTGTTATGTTACTAAAGGTGCGCGTTAGGCTGTTTCACCAATGCTTCCTTTTATTTGAACTACCTGGCTATTCCCTTCAGTTTGTGGTTACTGTTGCCTTGTGAGTTTTCAGCATGTTTTAAATTAAAAGCACATACATTGCAAAAATAACATTAGTGTTCACTCTACCTGTTCTCCATCAGTTCCCTCACTGAAGCAACAGTTGGACCTGCCCCGAGATGAGTATAGTAAGGGCCTTCCTCCTTTTCAATGACTTGTCCTGTTGACAACAGAAAACAACTTTTCTATTAACACTTACCAAGTTTTCATTCAGTTCAAAAACATTGCATTGATTCATTAAAGCTCTGAAAAGCGTTCCGAAGGAGATTCAAGTACAACAGAGAAATGTAGCCTTTGTTTGTTTGGACAAATCTTTAAATGATGCTACCACTGACAGCTGAGCCATGCCTCCTTAAGACATCTAACCTGACACCAATACAGAGGGGATTCATCTACAGAAAAAAAAAAAAAAAACGTAGAACCAACTCACCCACACACTGACAGGTTGGAAGATCAGCCAGTTTTTTGGAAGGTGTATTAAGCAAGTTCTTAGTAGGAGTATCTAAAAAACTCATTGGAGACTCCAGAAAGCTGTTGACACTGTTCCTGGTTGGCGTCGACTCTGACGAGTGGCCTTGAACCCCATCAGCCGCTGTAGACAGGACAGTGACAGGTCCTGACATCTCTAACTTGTAGTAGCCCTGCTGACTTGCAGGAGGGGACTGAGGAGCCCCTGAAAACCCGTTGGACAGCCCATGGTGCTCAGTGGCATGGTTGTGAACATCTGTTTTTACTGGGCTGGTGTTAGGATCAGCACTGTGCTGCAGCCCACAAGGCTGCTCTACCTGAGATAACAGACGACACTCCTCGGGTCCTGTAGGAAAACCATTGCAGGGATTGTGCTGATGACCGTTAGAAAGAGGCCACGGCTGGTTTTCTTGACCGCACGTGAGATTTGTCTGAGTAAGAGTGCTGAAGTTTTGAGCCTGCTGACCAAAAAGGCTTGCATTGTGAGTGTTACTGTGATGGATAAGCTGCCTCCTTCCCTCTTGAGCCTCAGCCAAGTATTTCTTTAGATCAATTTGAGCCAGAGGCAGAAACAAGTTGTTCTTTTGGTGTTGGCCAGATTTCCCATGTAGAAGGCTTATCTGGCCCCTGCCCCTGTAGGGCATCTCTCCATTTGGCATGCATTTTGAGAGAGGGGTCCTGCGGTTCGTAGCCTCTTGTGACCCATCACTTTTCCTTTTCCGTGGCTTAGGGGGTGTAGCTTTCATTTTCTTTACAAGGGGCTTTTTCTGACTGGGGTGTTGCTGGGATTTGTAGTTGTATTTAATGGCTGAAACAGGTGTTCCCTTTGGAGGGTTGTTCTCTGACCGCTGGTTGTGTCGTGACTGGATGATGAACGCCAAATCTGCCAGCTGAGCTGCCACTTCCTCCTCGTCTCTGTTCCTTATCAATTTATTGACAAAGTTATCTCTGTCCTCCTCATCAAGCTCATGATCCTTACTGAACTTTATGTGACTGGTCTCTTTATAGTTGCTTTGTGATTTGATGACATGATACTGCTCCGTCCACCTGCAGGATGCTTTATTATCCGAGTCAGAGCTCAGCCTTCGGGAGCATTGGATGACATTTCCTTGCCTGGCCACAGGAGGGCGAATCACTGACGTTTGGTGTAGTGGTGAGCTGATAACCGACACTTTGTTGTAGTGGACAGCTGCTGTGGATTTGGCTTCTTGTAGAGAAATGTTTGAGTTGGAAATCGAGAAAGAGGAAGAAGAAATAGGATGTTCACAGTTATTTTCAATTTTAATGCGAGCTTGGGTGCTTTGAGGTATAGCTGCCAGCTGAGTCAAGGCCTCAATAGCAACAGCCTGATCAAAACTGAGATTTTTCCTCTCTGCTAAAGACTGCACGCTAGGTAGCAGAGCATTTGGAGGAGGCTCGTGTTTGACAAGCTGGGGAATCCTTTGCAAGTTAACAGGAGTGCTTTTCTGACACAAGTTATTCTTTAAGTCATCTTTTTCTGTTTTGACAAAGTGCAAATCTGCTGGCTCTGTTTTGATGGAGCGAAGAATGGAAGAACGCGATCCAAGCAGTTTCTCCTCCAGTCCCTTCCTCTCTGTGACGGACAGACAGACGACAGCTGCCAGCACCGACAGCGGATCATCACATGCATCCTCTGCATCGTTGTGTCGCGTGGAGGTCTGTTCAGGGATCCACATCCACGGCTCCTCCAGTTTGATCTTCTTTAGTGGAGCTGACACGTCATCTGGAGGCATCCTGGGTCCGTTCTCAGAGCTGACTTTAGGGACTGCGGTGATTATAGTCCTTTGAAGCTCTGACGCTGTTGTAGTCCTTTTACATGCAGATTTCAGAACGGAGTGTGACCCACTGGTCATGTTAGCACCATTTTGTTTTGTAAGGTTCTCATTTGAAGCATTCAGAAGAGTCACAGAAGAGCATACGTGCTGGCGAAGTGCAATTCTGTCCAGATCTACCCCAGACTCTTGTTTAATAAGTGCAGACTGTCCACCTTGGTCTGGGACCAGGTTGTTGATAAGTGACTGGGCTGTGAGGGGAGATTGTATATGAGGTATGTGGCCTTCCTCCTCTTCATCCTCCTCTGCTGCCACGTGGGTGCCATCCATCTGTACTTCGCCTTTGCCATTTACCGCCCTGATTTCTGGAGCCACCTGAGACAAAATGACAGAGAAAAATACATGAGAAAGGACGACAAGCTCTGGTAGCGTAAAGCGATTCAGCTCGCTCTAAACGTCACGCTGCATGACAGATTGCCTCCCAGCATGGCGCGGGCATCTGCTGCAGATACAATCATGGCTGCGGAAAATATGATGCCAAAGCCTGAAGCTGCTTGACGCACGTGTTGCCGCAGCAGAACTTTAAACAGAGCAAACAACATTCATGGCATAACTCCACAGCCAGGACGTGCAACAAGGTTTCCTGCCTGAGATGTGGAGCGTGGAGGGTCACTGACCCACAGGTAGCCATAAGCCAATGTGTAAACACAGTTAAATCACACAGTTCACGAGTGCAGCACTATTTGAGGGTCACTGAGTGCGTGTGTGCAGCGTGCATGGACATGTTGTGTTTGCGCTTGGCATGGAGGTGTGTTTCTGGGTGTGTGAGCAGATGTGCTAATTTATGCAGTAGCTCAGACAACGTTAAACACGGTGCACTGTTACACGAGTGGGACAGAGCGGCTAGTCTCGTCGTTTAAGAGAGATCCTGTCAGCTAAAGGTCCAAAGTACTAGCACACTGACTACCATGAAAAATCTTGGTAAACACAGATAATAAGTAACTTTGTAACTAATGATGCCTTTACTTTTAAACAGACCAGTCTGCGTTCCGACTGGAGGACATGTCCATTACTATGAGCTGTAATGTTCATGCATTCATCCCATGTTCACTTTAATAAACTAACAAAACTACAAGGGAGCTCGGATATGTTCTTCATCACTATGTACCTGGCAAAAATCCTCATTAAACTCCATCATGGTTTCTGTTTGAAACCGTTTGCAGCAGGAGATGTACACACCAATCTTATAGATCAAGAGAAAGCAGCAACAGCACTTTAACACAAACCAGATGCTTGTGAGCTAACAGAACACAAAACCTTATTGTTAATCATGCGTTTGAACTATTTTCATTTCCTCTAATAGAGATGGAACAGAACCACCTTTACAATACTTTCCCCCTGTTTAAATAAATACAACAATATCAGCTTTGTGTTTAAAATGAATCTTAAGCTTGTGCTGTGAAGGTCAGTTTTAAAGCCTGCCAGACATCCTGTTGCAAATAAAAGCAGTATGTCCATGTGACATCCCACATGTGAAGACTTTAAGGCATGAACTGCCATCCATGAGCTGGAATGTACTACAAAGTAAAAGATGAGCTAAACGCCCTCGATTAGAGGTGAAAAATAAAGGCAGCACTGAGATCTAAGAGGATTAACATGGCACAGTCTCCCACTACATGTGTTTAAAGAGTACAGCGTAGCGTAAAGTCAGATTTAAGCTCTTTCTCAAGCTGTTTTTTAGTAATAGGGACACAAAATATTTAGTCTGGAGTCACTAATGAAAGCAATGCTTTAAGATATTCTTGTGCTCTTAACAAATGACATTCATCCACTTGTAAAAATCTGTACAATTTTGGAGGTTTGATTTTAAATTAATTTTTGTTACTAATTAGGGCTGAACAATTAATTGCGTTTGCGATAATATCACGATATGATGAAATGAGATTTTCTAATTGCAAAGGCTGCGATTTGACTGGTCACATGATCTGGTTACGTGCCTTGCGAGTGAGCGGAGCAAAGCAGAGCAGAGAGCGGGAGAAGTCAACACTGAGCTTTAACCGGTTGCACAATGACGTCAGGCTCGACAGAAGCTGACACATCAGAAAGTTTGGTACCAAAGAGGGGCAGCACGTCCGTTGTTTGGAATTATTTTGGCTATAAAAAAGAAGACGCTGTGCAGAACCTGCCTTGCTGCTGTTGCCACCTCTTGAGGTAACACCACAAATCTTTATCAACACTTAAAAAAACACCACAAAGCCATTTACGATAGTTGCATGGCTAGAATGCCAACAGCCAGTGCTTCAACTTCAAGTAAACAAAGCACCAGCCGACAGGGATCACTGACCGAATTGTTCGAAGCTATTACTTCGTATGAACATAATTTGAAATGGCACGTGGAAATAACTCAAGCAATAACAGAGTTCATAGCGAAAAATGTGACGCCCATTAATATAGTGGGCGAGCCTGGGTTTACGGCTTTGGTGAACACAATGGATAAGTACAGAATGCCCTCGCGCACACATTTTAGCCAAGTTGCTATCCCAGAGCTACAGAAAAAAATGCCGAAACAGAGTTGCAGTGGAGCTGAAAACAGTGGAGTTTTTTTGCAACTGAAACAGATTTATAATAATAATAATAATAATAATAATAATAATAATAATAATAATGTGTTATGTATTGTCATCATTGTATGTTCCCATACAATGGCAAAATTGGATCTCTGCATTTAGCCCATCCACCACCAGGTGGTGCAGTGGGTAGCTATTGAAAGAGCCCGGGGAGCATTTTGGGGATAAGGTGTGCTGCTCAGAGACACCACGAGATGTACAGTTAGACCTGTTGCAATAAACAATAAATCAATTAATCGCATGATAAATAAAAATAATCAACCTCAATTTCATTTATCGGCTTTATCGTTTCACCGTGTCTCTCTTTCTACTACTAAGTTGAGAAGCTAAGCTATAAGCTAAGCTAACAGGCCAACCTCGGGGAAAAAATCTCCGTCTTGTCGAAGCTCCAAAATTCACGGTTGAAACTCGTGCCTTCTGTTAAAAAGTTTTTCTTTGTAAAAAGAAGCTGATAACTTGTTTACTGATTTTTTATTAAAAGCTTTGTGTGAAAAATGCTATGCTAAAGAGCTCCAACCACACCAAGCATCTGCCATTTTGAGAACCGAAGAGTGACAGCCCATGTCACGTCAAGGGGCCTCCCTCCCATTTTTCTTAAAGAGACACACTGCTCGCTCCCTCACTATCCATCCTTCAGTTCAAACAGTCTTACACAACCAACCAATAGTTGAAAAAAGTTACTACATGCAAAACAAATTAACAAACATTTCCTCTTAAATTTGACAATTACTAATTATTGTCAAATTTCAAACAATATTGTTTATCGCGATAATTTCTGAGCCAATTAATCGCCTAGCAACAGTTGTTATCGTGACTGGCCTATGACTGGGGATCAAACTTGGGACATTCGGGTCCCGAGTCAGCTGCTCTGCCTCTACACCATCTTGAAAAATACATGAGAAGAAGACATTGAAAAATAATTGCATATTAAATTGCAATCGTAATATTGAGGTAAAAAAATCGCATCTAGAATATTTTCCAAAATCGTTCAGCCCTATTACTAACTGACTTTATAATGAGTGTATTTCAGAAAATATTGTTGTCAAGAAAAGACAATATAACAGCTGTTGAAGAAGTAGTCATTTAGCTCATGAATAGCTGTTTGGTAGCCAATGGATACAAAATCTTTAAAGGCTTGACTTGTTTGGGACAGTGGATTTTCTGGATTTTCTCCTCAATGGGCTCACCTCTGAGTCGTCGTCAGTTTTTTTTTTTTCATTCAACCTTTATTTAGACAGGTAAATCCCATTGAGCCTCGAGGACTCATTTACAAGAGAGACCTGCCAGTTTGCCAGTTTGACTCTTTCATGAGAGTTTCTCTCTCATTCTCCAAAGAGATTGCTCAAACTGCTGTCTAATGCAGGTAAACGTTGATTATTCATAAATAATCCACATACAAAACAACTTCAGAAAATCTAAACTATCTCTTTAGTTGAAATTATTAGAAAATTTCTACGTTAAACACTAAAGGAAGTACTTTACTGAGTTTAGTAACAATTCATGTGAACCTTCTGTTTTTCATCAAGACTCTCGTTAACTGACTCGGTGAAACTGGATTTGATGAACTGAGGGTTTTTAATGTTTATTACCATGTCAGACAACTACACTAACAAGGAGCAGATTCGTAAACGTTCTATGATTTATTAGACTTTCTTCTCAGCCTTTTGTACTTTGTGCAAAGCATTATCCCAAGACCGTGTCTCACTGCAAGTAAAATGCAGCTTGAAAAACACATAGGCTGCACAGCTGCAGAAAGAAAAGCTTTGCAGAAAGTGGTGAAGGTTGCACAGAAGTCTGTTGGAGTCAGCCTCCCCATCATCACAGACAGCTACACCTACAGATGCAGGAAGAGGGCCACCTGCATCATGAAGGACCCCACTCATCCAGCACACACACTTTTTTGCCCTGCTCCCCTCAGGAAGGAGGTTAAGGAGCATTAAGTGTAGAACCACTAGACTGAGGAAGAGCTTCTACCCTGAGGCTGTTAGACTCATAAATCTCTAACCAGAATAAACACTAGCTATGTTTACATGTGCAAATTTTTTTGACCGGATTTAAATGTTTTCAGATTAAATAATTAAAATGTATCGTTTACATGGGCACAATCTGTTCATGACGAGCGTTTACATGCAGCGGGCTTTGTTCTGAACAGCAGTACTGACATGCGCAGAGTGGTAAACTCTCCTTAAAAAAAACACAGAAGAAGAAGTTCTACTGCTGGTTTACTTCCGGGATGAACGTAAACAAACCTGAGCACCCAAAATGGACCCGCGACAGGTTTTAATGACGGTGGAGACGTTACTGCACTCCCTGACTGAGCTACAGGTGACACAGATCATTTTGAGCTCTTACAAAGTTTCTAGAAGAAATACTGTGTCACTCACAGACCAGTTTTGCTTCCCCGACATGCTAATATTATTAGCATTACCCAGGCGGAAATGACAAAGTCGCACATGCGCAGTCAGGTCAGTTTTTCACCATCAAATAAAAACAAACAGATCAAGCGTTTACATGCGCACCGTTCGGGTTATGAATCGGCGTAAACCACCCGTTTCGTTCTGATCACAAATGATTTCGGATCACGCTGAATAAACAAAAAATAACTCGAACGGTGTGTTTACATGACACATTTTTATTCCGAACGGCCGTTTGATCCGGTTACTTATGTCCATGTAAACATAGCTACTGTGAAGAATCACATCTTGTTGCTGCGTTCATTTGTACTCATCTGCTCACACAGACTCATGT